AATAGACAAGGCCCAAAGAGATCGTGCTAAATACCAGCTTCTAGCAGCCATTCGCCCACCTAAACAGTCTGGCTATGGCACCCAGGGGCACAAAAGACCTGATAGCAGTGCACCTCTGGGGGCATGTTTCAAGTGCAGCAAGGAAGGCCATTGGGTGTGGGCATGTCCCAATCCATGGGCGCCAAAAAGCCCTTGCCCCATCTGCCAGCACACAGGCCACTGGAAGACTCCAGTTCTCTCTCACTCAAGATAAATAAACAATGTGTGCACTTTTCTGTATTATGTTATATTTCAATGAGGATTTAAAAGCTATACAATTTACTAGGCAAATGCCAAGAAAATGAAAGGAGCTCTGAAAATACAATTATTGCAGTAGAAATTAAGGTCCAAATCATCAACAGATCAACAAAAAAGGGGAGTATCAAAAGGGGAGTATCTTTTTTTTGAGATAAAGTCTTGCTCTTGTCCTCTAGGCTGGAGTGCAATGGCGCAATCTGGGCTCAGTGCAACCTCTGCCTCCTGGATTCAAGTGATTCTCCTGCCTCAGCCTCTTGAGTAGCTGGGATTAAAGGTGCCTGCCACCAGGCCTGGCTAATTTTTGTATTTTTTTTAGTAGAGACAGGTTTTCACCATGTTGGCCAGGCTGGTCTCGAACTCATGACCTCAGGTGATCCTCCTGCCTTGGCCTCCCGAAGTGCTGGGATTACAGGCGTGAACCACTGTGCCCAGCCAGGAGTATCTTTTAATAATAAAAGAAACAAAGAAGTACTAACTGGCATAAACCTTCAGGATCATTCAACCCATACAAATAAAACCAGCACAAATGCATCAAACCACATGAAGTCTTAAAAATCATAACTGTCAAATTAGAACTCAGAATTAAGAAACTAACTCAGAACCGCACAACTTCATGGAAACTGAACAACTGGCTCTTGAATGTCCACCAGATTAACAAATGAAGGCAGAAATAAAGATGTTCTTTGAAAACAATGAGAATGAAGACAAAACATACCAGAATCTCTGGGACACATTTAAAGCAGTGTCTAGAGGGAAATTTATAGCAATAAATGCCCACCAGAGAAGCGAGGAAAGATCTAAAATCGACACCCTATCATCAAAATTGAAAGAGCTAGAGGAGCAAGATCAAAAAAACTCAAAACCTAGTGGAAGACAAGAAATAACTAAGATCAGAGCAGAACTGAAGGAGATAGAGACACAAAAAATCCATTTAAAAAAATAAATAAATCCAGGAGCTGGTTTTTTGAAAAGATCAACAAAACAGACCGCTAGTCAGATTAATAAAAAAGAAAAGGGAGAAGAATCAAATAGATGCAATAAAAAATGAAAAAGGGGATATCACCACTCACTCCACAGAAATACAAACTACAATCAGAGATTACTACAAACAACTCTATGCACATAAACCAGTAAGCCTGGAAGAAATGGTTAAATTCCTGGACACTTGCACCCTCCCAAGCCTAAACCAGGAACAAGTTGAAACTTGAACAGACCAATAACAACGGCTGAAGTTGAGGCAGCAGTTAATAGCCTACCAACCAAAAAAGTCCAGGTTCAAATGGGTTCACAGCTGAATTCTACCAGATGTACAAAAAGGAGCTAGTACCATTCCTTCTGAAATGATTCTAAACAATCCAAAAGGAGGGAATCCTTCCCAAATCGTTTTATGAGACCAACATCATCCTGATATCGAAACCTGGCAGAGACTCAACAAAAAAAGAAAACTTCAGGCCAATACCCATGATGAATGTCAATACAAAAATCTTCAATAAAATACTGGCAAACCAATTGCAACAGCACATCGAAAAGCTTATCCATCACGATCAAGTAGGTTTCATCCCAGAGATGCAAGGCTGGTTCAACATACGCAAGTCTATAAACATAATCCACCACATAAACAGAACCAAAGACAAAAACCACATGATTATCTCAACTGATGCAGAGGTCTTTGACAAAATTCAACAGCCCTTTATGCTAAAAACTCTCAATAAACTAGGTATCAAAATAACGTATCTCAAAATAATAAAAGCTATTTATGACAAACCTACAGCCAATATCATACTGAGCAGGCAAAAACTGCAAGTATTCCCTTTGAAATCCGGCACTAAACAAGGATGCCCTGTGTCACCACTCCTATTTGATATAGTACTGGAAGTTCTAGCCAGAGCAATGAGGCAAGAAAAAAAAATAAAGGGTATTCAATTAGGAAAAGAGGAAGTCAAATTGTTTCTATTTGCAGATGACATGATTGTATATTTAGAAGACCCTATCATCTTAGCCCAAAATCTTAATCTGATAAGCAACTTCAGCAAAGTCTCAGGATACAAAATCAATGTGCAGAAATCACAAGCATTTCTATACACCAATAACAGACTAACAGAGAGCCAAATCATGAGCAAACTCCCATTCACAATTGACACAAAGAGAATAAAATACCTAGGAATACAACTAACAAAGAATGTAAAGGACCTCTTCAAGGAGAACTAGAAACTACTGCTCAAGGAAATAAGAGAGGACACAAACAGATGGAAAAACATTCCACACTCATGGTTAGGAAGAATCAGTATCATGAAAACAGCCATACTGCCCAAAGTAATTTATAGATTCAATGCTATCCCCATCAAACTACCAATGACCTTCTTCACAGTACTGGAAAAAAACCACCTTAAACTTCATATGGAACTGAAAGAGAGCCTGCATAGCCAAGTCAATTCTAAGCAAAAAGAACAAAGCTGGAGGGATCACGCTACCTGACTTCAAACTATACTGCAAGGCTACAGTAATCAAAACAGCATGGTACGGGTACCAAAACAGAGATATAGACCAATGAAACAGAACAGAGGCCTCGGAGGCAATGCCACACATCTACAACCATCTGATCTTTGACAAACATGACAAAAACAAGCAATGGGGAAAGGATTCCCTGTTTAATAAATGGTGTTGGGAACTCTGGCTAGCAGTGTGCAGAAAGCAGAAACTGGACCCCTTCCTGACACCTTACACTAAAATTAACTCCAGATGGATTAAAGACTTAAACATAAGACCTAACACCATAAAAACTCTAGAAGAAAATCTAAGCAAAATCATTCAGGACATAGGCATAGGCAAGGACTTCATGACTATAACACCAAAAGCATTGGCAACAAAAGCCAAAATAGACAAATGGATCTAATTAAACTCCAAAGCTTCTGTATAGCAAAAGAAACAATCATTAAAGTGAACTGTCGACCAACAGAATGGGAAACAATTTTTCAATCTACCCATCTGACAGAGCTACTATCCAGAATCTACAAAGAACTAAAACAGATTTAAAAGAAAAAAACAAACAAACCCAACCAAAAGTAGGAGAAGGATATGAACAGACACTTTTCAAAAGAAGACATATGAGGTCAACAAACATATGAAAAATGCTCATCATCACTGGTCATTAGAGAGATGCAAATCAAAACCACATTGAGATACCACCTCACGCCAGTTCGAATGGCGATCACTAAAAAATCTGGAGACAACAGATGCTGGAGAGGATGTGGAAAAATAGGAACACTTTTACACTGTTGGTGGGAGTGTAAACTAGTTCAACCATTGTAGAAGACAGTGTGGCGCTTCTTCAAGGATCTAGAAATAGAAATTCCATTTGACCCAGCAATCCCATTACCGAGTATATACCCAAAGGATTATAAATCATTCTATTATAAAGACATATGCACACATATGTTCATAGTGGCAGTTTACAATAGCAAAGACCTGGAACTAACCCAAATGCCCATTGAAAATAGACTGGACAAGGAAAATGTGGCACATATACACCATGGAATACTATGCAGCCATAAAAAATAATGAGTTAGTGTCCTTTGTAGGGACGTGGATGAATTTGGAAACCATCATTGTCAGCAAACTGACACAAGAACAGAAAATCAAACACCGCATGTTCTCACTCATAGGCAGGTGTTGAACAATGAGAACACATGGACACAGGGAAGGGAGCATCACACACTGGGGTCTGTTGGGGGAGCTAAGGGAGGGACAGCGGGGGGTGGGGAGGAATAATATGGGGAGAAATGTCAGACGTAGGTGACGGGGGGGATGGAGGCTCTAAACCACATTGCCATGTGTGTACCTATGCAACAATCCTGCATGATCTGCACATGTACCCCAAACCTAAAGTACAATAAAAAAAATCATAATTGTTGCTGTGTTATATTTAACAAGTGTTGCTATTAAGGTTATGCCAGTTTTTAAAAGGAACTCAGGAAATTTCTTTTTATGTGTTACAATGGCATAGATATTATCTTCTTTAAAGTTCAGCTATAAACACATTTAGAACTGGTGCCTTTTAAAAATGGTACATTTTAACTCTTTTCCTTTCTTTGAATTTTGGTCTTTACCAAATGTTGGGGTGGATGCAGAGAAACTGGATCTCTAACACATTGCCAGCAGGAATGTAAAGTGGTACAGCCACTCTGGAAAATAGTTTGGCAGCTCCTTTAAAAACTAAAATACTTATCACATGATCCAGCAACTGCACTTCTGGGCATTCATCCCAGATAAAGGAAATCTTATGTGTACACAAAAACCTGTACAAGATTATTCACCGCAGCTTGATACGTAATAGCCTCAGACTACAAACAAGCAAAATGTCCCTCAGATGAATGGCTAAACAAACTGTGGTAAATCTAGAATATGGAATACTACTCAGCAACAAAAAGAAATAAATTATCATTGTTAGCAACAGTTTGGATGGTTTTCAAGGATATTATGCTGAGGGGAAAAACCAACCTCAAAAAGATAACACACTGGGCTGGGCGCGGTAGCTCATGCCTGTAATTCCAGCACTTTGGGAGGCTGAGGGGGGCAGATCACCTGACATCAGGGGTTCAAGACCAGCCTGGGCAACATGGTGAGACCCCCAGCTCCACAAAAAATTTAGAAAGTAGCCATGGCATGCACCTGTAGTCTCATCTACTCAGAAGGCCAAGGCTCACCTGAACCTAGGAGTTCGAGGCTGCAGTGAGTGATGATGGGGCTACTGTACTTCAGCCTGGGCACCACAGTGAGAACCTGTCTAAAAAAAAAAAAGAGTATAAAGGGGTAGTAGTTCTGTATCTTGATTGTGATAGCTGTTACATGAATCTATGCACATGACAAAATGACATAAGAACTATGCACACACTAGGCTGGGTGTGGTGGCTCACGCCTGTAATCCCAGTACCTTGGGAGGCTGATGTCGGTGGATCATGAGGTCAGGAGTTCGAGATCAGCCTGGGCAACATGGTGAAACCCCATCTCTACTAAAAATACAAAATTAGCCAGGTGTGGTGGCGCATACCTGTAGTCCCAGCTACTCGAGAGGCTGAAGCAGAATTGCTTGTACTAAGGAGGTGGAGGTTACAGTGAGCCAAGATCGTGCCACTGCACTCCAGCCTGGGCAACAGAGCAGGACTTGGTCTCCAAAAAAAAAAAAAAAATAGCCAAGTGCGGTGGTGCATGCCTGTAATTCCAGCTACTTGGGAGGCTGAGGCAGGAGAATCACTTGAACTTGAAAAGCAGAGGTTGCAGTGAGCAGAGATTGCATGCACCACTGCACTCCAGCCTGGGTGACAGAGCAAGACTCCGTCTCAGAAAAAAAACACAAAAAACAAAAAAGAATTATGTACACACCATGTACCAATGTCAAATTCTACATTTTTATATTGTATTATGATTTTGTAAGATGTAATCATTGGAGAAAACTGGGTGAAGGTATACAGGGCTCTGTGCTATGTTTGTAACTTCCTATGAATCTATTACTATTTCAAAATAAAAAGTTTAAGAAAATCATAATTGTTCCAGGGGATTTTATTTTCTGTCTTCTATGATATGATGGATCAAGTAAACAAACAAAAAACAAAACTAAGTAAAGCAGATTTGAGAAATATAATCAACAAGCCTGACTTAAGACACATTACTTTACCCAATGAATATACTCTCTTCTCTTAGAGTAGAGAATTTTTTAAAAATTATGTAACTTGGACTTGAAGAAAGTATCTTGATACGTTTAAAAATTAGAGTCTTGGCAGGCTATATTGACTATGATCTTGTAAAATCATAAGTATATAATAAAAAGATAAACTACCAAATCCAGATTTCAATTAATAAATACTCTCTAGGTCGGGCATGGTGGCTCATGCTTGCAATCCCAGCACTTTGGGAGGCCAAGGTGGGCGGATCACAAGGTCAGGAGATCAAGACCATCATGGCCAACATGGTGAAACCCTGTCTCTACTAGAAACGTAAAAATTACCTGGGTGTGGTGGCAGACACCTGTAATCCCAGCTATCTGGGAGGCTGAGGCAAGAGAATTGCTTCAACCCAGGAGGTGGAGGCTACAGTGGGCTGAGATCATGCCACTGCACTCCAGCCTGGCAACAGACCGAGACTCCATCTCAAAAAAAAAGAAAGAAATATTCTCTAAACATGTCAGGATTGAAAATGGATTTGATAACAAAATTTTAGACTTCATAACAAATTTTGAGGCACAGCTAAAGCTATATTTAAAGAATATTTTGTCTTTGTCTACAGACACAGAGGAAAAAAAGAATGTTTTGGCCTAATTATTTTTAATGTTTAAAAATAAAAGCTAAAGGTAAATGAACTAAGTGTTCAATCTAAGAAAATATTTTTTAAAAGGCCAGGTGCAGTGGCTCACGTCTATAATCCCAGCACTTTGGGAAGCTGAGGTGGACGGATCACTTGAGGTCAGGAGTTCCAGACCAGCCTGGCCAACATGGTGAAACCCCATCTCTACTAAGAATATAAAAATTAGCCAGGCATGGTGGCGCATGCCTGTCATCTTAGCTACTCGGGAGGCTGAGGTGGAAGAATCACTTGAACCTGGGAGGAAGAGTTTGCAGTGAGCTGAGACTGCACCACTGCACTCCAGCCTGGGCAACAGAACATGACTCCATCTCAAAAAACAAACAGACAACAACAACGACAACAAAAATTAGCCGGATTGCTTGAGCCCAGGAGGTACAGGCTGCAGTGGGCCGAGATGGCACCACTGCACTCCAGCCTGGATGTCAGAGGGAGACCCTGTCTCAAAAAAAAAAAAGAAATTAAAAGAGGACAACAAAATATTCATGAGAAACCCGATCAAGGTAAAAGAGAAAGGAAAAAAATATATACATATGTATACACACACACACACACACACACACACACACACACACACGTCACAAACATGCACAGTCTTAGACCCTAGCAAACATAAACTACCAAAATCAATCCTCCCAACCAGAAATCTGTAGAGCAATAATCAGAGAAAATAATATACCTAAAATTTGCTGTTTAAAAAAAGGCATCAGCTATAAGTGTGTATATAGTTGAACTTCAGAGAATGTCTATACTATTTTAACACATTAAAAAATGGTGCAGGGCATGGTGGCTCACGCCTGTAATCCCACACTTTGGGAGGCTGGAGGGTGGATCACGAGGTCAAGAGATGGAGACCATCCTGGTCAACATGGTGAAACCCCATCTCTACTAAAAATACAAAAATTAGCTGGGCATGGGAGTGCATGCCTGTAATTCCAGCTACTCAGGAGGTGGAGGGTGCAGGGAGCTGAGATTGCACCACGGCACTCTAGCCTAGTGACAGAGTGAGACTCTGTCTCATAAAAAAAAAGGAAATGTCCTGATTTTCTTTTAACAACTGGCATAACCTTAATACCAACACTTGTTAAATATACAAAAACAAGAAAACTATAAGCAAACTTTCTATAGTGGCAAAAATTCTAAATAAAATATTACTAACTCAGGCTTCCTGGTGCTTATCACAGGCTGTGTGCTTACACTGACTATACAGAAAAAGAAGTGGGCCTGCCTTCTCTGTTCTTACACTGACTGTACAGAAAGAGGAGACCCACCTTATATACACCTCTGCCCAGGCCCTATGCCTGGTCTGAATTGTGAATGAGGGGACACAGAGTTGAGGAAAAAGAAACAAATACATTAGTAACTCAAATCTGACCATGACTCATAAGAAAAATTGCCCTTGACCAACAGAATTATCCCAGGAAGGCAAGGATGGATCTGCATTATATATCAATATCATTCATTACAACAACCAATTTAGGAAAGTAACACCATTAGGCTATTCCATCAAAAAGGCATCTGACATAATTCAAGAACCATTCCTAAGAAAAATACAAATCAAGATAGGAACATGTGAAAACTATAAGAACACCATCAGGAAAGTGAAAAGACATAGAGGCTGGGTACGGTGGCTCATGCCTGTAATCCCAGCCCTTTGGGAGGTGGAGGCAGGTGGATCACTTGAGGCCAGAAGTTCGAGAGCAGCCTGGCTGAAATGGCAAAACCCTGTCTCTACTAAAAATACAAAAATTAGCTGAATGTGGTGGCGAGTGCCTATAAAACCAGCTACTTGGGAGGCTGAGGCAGAAGAATCGCTTGAACCCGGGAGTCGGAGGTTGCAGTGAGCCGAGACAACACCACTGCACTGCAGCCTGGGCAACAGAGGGAGACTCCAACTCAGGAAACAAAAACAAAAACACCTGCACAGAATGAGGGAAATACATGCAAATCACATTTGTGACAAGGGACCTGTACCCAGATTATCTACACAACTTGATATTACAAAGACAATTCAATTTAAAAATAGGCCAAGGATTTGAATAGATATTTCTTCAAAGATATACAAATGGCCAATAAGTACAGGAAAAGATGCTCAACATCAGTGGCCACTAGAGAAATAGAAATCAAAACCACAGGATACCACTTCACACTTACTAGGAAGGCTAGAATTAAAAAGACAATAAGCGTTAGCAAGGATGTGATCAACTGGAACCCTCATACATTGCTGTCGGGATATAAAGTGATGCAGCCGTTTTGGAAAACAGTTTGGCAATTCTTCAAAATGTTAAACACAGAAGACTGGGCACAGTGGTTCACGCCTATAATCCCAGCACTTTGGGAGGCTGAGGCAGGTGGATCACTTGAGGTTAGGAGTTCAAGACCAGCCTGGCCAACATGGTGAAACCCCATCTCTACTAAAAATACCAAAATTAGCTGGGTGTGGTGGTGGGAGCCTGTAGTCCCAGCTACTTGGGAGGCTGAGGCAGGAGAATCACTTGAACCTGGGAGGTGGAGCTTGCAGTGAGTGGAGTTAGTGCCACTGCACTTCAGCCTGGATGACACAGCAAGACTCTGTCCCAAAAATAAAAATTAAAGAAATAAAATAAAATAAATAAAGGTGCTAGATCCATAGGAAAACTATCAAATAGCATAGTTTTAATGGCTATTTGTGAAACTAGATAAAATAGTTTTAACATTCGTACGGAAGAATAAACACACAAGAAAATGAATGAAAGCAACCAAAAAGAAAGTGAGGGGGCTAGTCAAACCATTTCTTTCTTCTTTAGGAAGGTCAGGACTCACTCGCAGTACTAAAATATTATTTCTAAAGGCAATATGATTTTTTTAAAAAGGAGTAGATACATATATTGGAAGAATTAGACAGAGTTCAGAAATAAAACAATACACATTTGGGAACTTATGTGACAAAAGTGACATTTAATTGAATTAGAAGGGGTATTCATTTAACGACTGGTGCTGGCAAATTAGCTATCCAAATGGAATATACGAACTGTTTCCATCTCATACCATACACCAAAGTAAATTCCAGTTAGATTAAAATTTCACTTAAAAAATTGGAACAATAAATATATTAAAAATAAACTTAAGGCATATTTGTTTGAACACGAAATGGGGAGAAGTCACTAGGCAAGACAAGACACTCAGAACCTGTAAAGGAAAAAGGCAGATATATCTTAATAGATAATTTTTTAAAAAATCAAATGTAAAGACAACTTTCAAAAGTCAAAATAAAGAGATCGAGGAAATATAGTTACAATACAGGTTAATATTCACAACTTAGTAAGAAGGAAAAACCACCTAAAGGAAAAAAAGAGCAAAGAATATGAAGACATTTAAATATATATTTCAATGGCCAAAAAGTATGAAATAATGTCCAACCACTAGTTGTCAGGAAAATGCACATCAAGGTAAACTAGATACCCTTGTGTTTGGCCCTAAGAATGGGGAAAATTAAAAAAAAAAATCTCACAAGGTCAAGACATCGAGGTGAAACCCGTCATTACTAAAAAATACATTTCAACATGGTGAAACCCGTCATTACTAAAAAATACAAAAAAATTAGCTGAGTGTGGTGGTGCATGCCTATAGTCCCAGCTACTCGGAAGGCTGAGGCAGGAGAATCACTTGATCCGGGAGACACAGGTTGCAGAGAGTTGAGATAGAACCACTGCACTCCAGCCTGGTGACAGAGCAAGACATCATCTCAGAAATTTTTTAAAAAAAGGCTGGGCGCGGTGGGTCACGCCTGTAATCCTAGGACTTTGGGAGGCCGAGGCGTGTGGATCACAAGGTCAAGAGATCCAGACCATCCTGGCCAACATGGTGAAACCCCGTCTCTATTAAAAAATACAAAAAAATTAGCTGGGCATGGTGGCACGCGCCTATAGTCCCAGCTACTTGGGAGTCTGAGGCAGGAGAATTGCTTGAATTCAGGAGGCGGAGATTGCAGTGAGCCAAGATTGCACCACTGCACTCCAGCCTGGCGCCTGGCGACAGGGCAAGACTCTGTCTCAAAAAAAAAAAAAAAAAAAAAAAAGAAATTCAGTGTGGAAGAGGATTTTGGTAGAAGCCTTTTTATATGTTGCTGGTGGGAGATCCAATTTTACAAAAGTTTTGAAAACTAATTTGGAGATATGTGTTGAACTTAAAAGCATCATTCCTCCATGTAATGATCACTCAGGTGACAGCCTCTGACCGCAATTTAGAAATCAAAAACAAAAATGTCAACGTTTTGGGAAATCAAAATCTCATATCTAAATAACCCAGAGGTAAGAGTGAACACTGCAACTGCAATTAGAAAACATTAGAAGGAAACTATAGTGGAGATGCTACATATCAAAACTTGTGGGTTGGATGCAGTGGCTCTCACCTGCAGTTACAGCACTTTGGGAGGATGAGGTGCGAGGACTACTTGATGATTGCTTGAGGCTAGGAGTTCAAGACCAGCCTGGGCAACAGAGCAAGACCCCAATCTCTACCAAAAAATTTAAAAATTAGCTGGGCAAGCTTGCCTGTAGTACCGGCAACTTGAGAGGTTGAGGTTGGAGGATCACTTGAGCCTAGGAGGTTGAGGCTGCAGTGAGCCATGATGGCTCCACTGCACTCCAGCTTGGGTGACAGAGAGAGAATCTTGTATCTTAAAAAAAAATCAGCCTAGGCAACACAGTGAGACCCCGTGTCTACACAAAATAAAAAAGTAGTGGGTGTTGCAGCACAGGCCTGTAGTTCCAGCTACTTGGGAGGCTGAGTTGGGAGGATCGACTGAGCACAGGTTGAGGCTGCAGTGAGCTGTGATGGCACCACTGTACTCCATCTCTGGGGGACAGAGTGAGACCCTGTCTCAAAATAAAACAAAACAGCAGCAGCAACAACAACAAAACACGTGGAATGGAGCTAAAGTGTTTTTAGAGAAAAAATTATAAACTGAATGTTCATATTATAAAATAAAATGACTGGATAGTAAGAGATAAGCATTCAATTCAGGACTTTAAAAATGAGAACAAAAGAAAGAAAAAAGTTAAGGGCAGAAATTAATGACAGAGAAACAAAGATACAGGAGGATCAACGGTCAAAAGTAGGTTTTTGAAACCTTATCCCAGACCTAAACATCACCTATCACTGACCCCAGAAGCTGCATATCTGATTCCACAGACTCCGCCCCATTACTAGTCCCAAATAAACACATCACTCACCCGGCAGAAACCTTGAGCAATCACCCAATAGACCCCATCCCACACCTCGCAGACCTCCGGTATTCACCCCGCACAGCCCCTTCTCACCCCATGGACTTATCACTCATTTGACATATACCCTATCACTCACCCTAGAGACCCTGCATCACTCACCCCACAGACGCCCTTATCATTCACTCCAGTGTCCCCATCACTCAGCCCACAGGCTACCCATCAACTTTCCCTAGTGACCCAATCACTCACCCACAAACCCCAATCACTCACTTTCCACACCTCCCTATAAATGACCCCAGAGAAGCCTCCTCACCCTACTGAGCATCATCATTGAGTACGAAATCCATGTCATAACATCACCATAATTATCTCAATGCTTGATCCACGTCATAACATCCCCATAATTATCTCAATGCTTAAGTGGCCCTAAGTCCGTCTGTTGAACTCACTCCCAGAGGCCTTAAGTCCTGAAAACTGCTTCGAGGGACCCCGGCGCTTCACGACTTCATTTGCACATGCTCAGTGTCAGCTCCGAAGCGGCCACTCGCCCACAATTACACCTGCTGCCCTTACACCGCGTCGGTGCGTGCGCGTGTGCGTCGAAGGAGAGGCGGCCATTCCAATTTCCTTCAGTGACTGTCAGGCAAGAAACATGGCTGTCCCCTTGGGAGCGTCTCTACGGGAGCCGCCATCTTGGAAGGGTGGTCATTTCGGCCGTGAAGCCCGGTCCCCTACCCGATATTCCCCTGTGGGAGTTCCAGTGGCCGAGGCACTAGGCCATGGAATGTACCACCAGGCTTCTCCCCCTCCGCCGCAGCCTCTAGGAGTCAGTCACCTCCGAGGCCCCAGCGGGCGGGGCACTTTGCCTCTTCTGCCCTCAGGATGCCCTTGCCCGTCCCCTCTGGGGAGCCTCCGCCTCTTTAAGTATCACCCAGCCCCCCACCCCCAGGAGCGGGTCGCGAGCCGCCCCCGGCCCCGCCCCTGCCCCCGCCCCCGCCCCCGCCGCCGCACTGCTCTGTGGCACGCGGCGACCTCCTCTCCGCGGCGGCCGGCACCCCATGCCCACCCCGTCCCGAGCCCACCTGGCGGCCCCGCTGGCTACAGCTCCAACCTGGGCCCCGGTCGGCTGTGGGAAATGCCCGGTGTCTTGACTATCACCGAACCTGTGCAGTTGCCGCCGTGGCGGGGGCGGGGGTGGGGGGACTCCTGCGTATCAGGTTTAGGCCAGGAAGCGGAAGTCGCTTGCAGTAAGAGTTTAACCTGTGTGGGCGCGGAGGGTTGCGGGGATTCAGCGCCCGGGACTGTCGATCTGTGCGGGGAGTCATGGGTGTGTGTGACATCAGTGGTAGAGCATCTTGGTTCATTTTCACATTTCAGTCGTTAGCCTTTCTGCTTTCCTCGTGGAAGCATTAAGGTTGAAGTTTTCTTCTAAAGATCCAAATTTTGATTTGTTATATTCGTTTGGATTTTTTTTCGTGTTCGGTTTCAAGTGCTGATTTGTAACTTTCCCCCACATACACCTTTTGATCCCTGAATTATTTAAAAGTCCATTGTCCGGATGGCAAACATTCTCCGAGACTCAAAGGGCAAGGCCATGGGTCTTTTATTCCTGCTGCTGCTCCAGGGAGAACACACAAACGCGGTGTCTCCAGGAATGTGGGAAAGGAGTGGAGTTTTATTCTAGGGGAAGGAAACAAAGGCGGCCGAGTGCCAGCTGCACGTTTGGTGGGCTTTGGTCAGCAGGGGTGGACACGCTGCCCAACGGAGCTGTCGGCAATTTGACCCAGCTCGGTCTATCGCGTCCTTTTCTAAGGATCGATTCAAAGAAGGAATTTAGAGGGACTGCAGAAAATATTACAGGTTCTAACCCCATTTTGCATTTCCACAAAAGAACAAGAAGTTAATCCTTACGTCAGTGATTTCTAAGCCTGATTTGCCTTGTGGCCCAAGAACGTTGAGCTTGAAATTTGTTGAAACTTGCCTTAAGGCTCAGGTACGAGACCAGTTTTCAAAAATGGTTTTGTGTCTTGATTGAAAAGACTGTATCTTCCAGTGGTTGGGTTTATCGTACTCTACGGCTCTATTGGTTCAAGCTTATGCGTTGGGCGGTTTAAAATGTGTGTTTCCTGATAATTCCCTTCAGCTTGTCAACTGAGGGTGGGGGAGGGGAGAAGAAAGAGAGAAGAGAGAGACTGTTTTGTCAGGTTTTCCTTGTGCTGTTAAATTTTTTGCTTCCTATATTTTGAAATTTTATTATTAACTTCAGATAATGGTGTACTGAATAGATACAGCCAAATTCCTTCCCACAAAATATTGCAAGGTTTCCTAGTCCCACCAGCAAAATCATTAAGTTCATTAAGGTAAATCCCCTCCAGCGTTGGATGTTAATGCTGTCTTTAATGTTGTTTTTTTGACAAGTTGCGCAATTGAGAATTGTTTTGGTCAGTTGGCCATTTAGGTTTTCTCTTTTGCAAAGTTTCATATCCTTTGTCCAGTTTTCTTTGGGGTGATTTGTCCTTTTCTTTTCAATTTGTAAACAGTGTACAAATTACATGGTACGTTGGGGATATTAACAGTCTGTCAGTTACACTGTACATTAGGGATATTACATTAGAGATATTAATATCTTTGTACATTAAGGATATTCATCATCTGTCAGTTACATTGCATTATTTTTCCCTGAACTCTTTTTGTCTTTTGCATTTTATGTTTTTTTTTTAAATATGCAATGAGAAAAATTTTATGTGGGCTGAGTGCAGTGGCTCATGCCTATAATCCCAGCACTTTGGGAAGCTTAGGCTGGTGGATCACCTGAGACCTGGAGTTTGAGACCAGCCTGACCAACATGGTGAAACCCCGTCTCTACTAAAAATAAAAATAAAAAAAATAGCTGGGTATGGTGGTGGGCACTTGTAATCTCAGGTACTCAAGAGGTTGAGGCAAGAGAATCATTTGAACCCAGGAGGTGGAGATTGCAGTGAGCTGAGCTGGCACCACTGCACTGTAGCCTGTGTGACAGAGTGAGACTTCATCTCAAAAAAAAAAAAGAAAAATTGTATGTGTTCTTTTTAATATGTAATTAGTGAAATATAGCCTCTGATCAGATATGTCTAAACTTTCTTTTATGGCTTTTGTATATCCCATCTTGCCTAGTTTCCCTTCCCTATTCTAGATAGAAAGATAATCTTAACATTTATACATTTATTTCAGTGTCCTTCCTTTCTCCCTCTCTACCTCTCTCCTTCCTTCCTTCCTTCCTTCCTTCATTTCTTTCGAAGGAGCCTTCACTGCAACCTCTACCTCCCAGGTTCAAGCAATTCTCCTGCCTCAGCCTTCTGAGTAGCTGGGACTACAGGCGCACGCCACCTGGCTAATTTTTATATTTTTAGTGGAGATGGGGTTTCACCATGTTGCCAGGATGGTCTCGATCTCCTGACCTCGTGATCCGCCCACCTCAGCCTTCCAAAGTGTTGGGATCACAGGTGTGAGCCACTGTGCCAGGCCTATTGCTTTTTTTCTACTTTAATCTAGTTGGAATTTACTCTGGTGTATGGTATGAAATAGAGATCAAAGTTGAACAAGAAAAGAAGCCTGTGTCATGCTTTTTTCTGTGTCAAATAAAAACAGAGGCTTTCATTAGAAAGACAGACTATTGCAAAAGGGCGAATGCTCCCATCTCAGAAACCTGAGAGCATCTTGAAACCAAACAGAAAAAAAGCTTTTCTTGTAGAGGGTAAGGAGGCCGGCAGAGATAAACAGAATCTGTGGAGAGGACGCTGCACAAACAAGGGGGAATGGCTGGTGGAGTCTGCCAGGAAAGTGTGTCACTGTGGTCGGCCCATTCTCAGGAGAAGCTGAGAAGCAGGGTGCATTGCAGGGGGTGGGGGGATTTCTACTTTTTTCGGATGCTTGCGTTGGCTTGGGAGCAAGCAGAGTCCAGGAGCTTGTAGGAAAGAACCCTGGTTCAAGTTTGGCTAAAGAGCATTTTGTTCTGATTGATAAGTGGGAACAAGCAGGCTTATCATTTATGAGACAAAGAATAGGAATTTGGAGGGTGGGTGTCTGGCCTTCTCATAGGTAAACAGGGGCATCTGTGATTTCTAAGTCATATGGGGAAGGATGATTCTTTATAGTAAGCCATTTTTCAGAAAAGCCATTT